TTCCACATCTGCACGAAAATAGCTTTTCCAGCCGTGCTCGCCCTGGCTATAAGGGACAGCCACAGCTGTGCTCAGCCCTCATTGTGGTTTTCGCTTACAGCTCAGTGCGTTGGGTGTTTTAATTCCGTGTCCAGTTCCTCCCAGGCCGCGCCGATGTAGCGAACTGGCCGGTGGGCTGTGGAAGGGCTGACAGGGCACAGCAAGCTCTGGGAAGGTGCTGGGTTTCTCTGAGCCTGCAGTGGGGCAGAGGCAGTGACTGCCTGTGTGCTCTGTGCTGGTTCCCATATCCTTCCTCCCACTGTGGGTAACACAGAGCATGGAGGAACAGGATACAGTTCCTTCTTGAGAAGAGACTGATCCCAGGTTCTGACCCAAAGGTAAAAAACAGGTTCAGCAAAGAAAATTCCAAGATTCATAGACTGCTAAGGGGTTAGAATGGACCTTATAGATCATCTGTTCCCAACCCCTCTGCCCTGGGCAGGGACATCTCAAACCAGAGCAGTGTTCCCAAACTTCAGGCTTAATTGCATACCCCTCAAACAGCCTCTGCATGGAAGTTCTCCCGAGCGCAATCAGAGGCACATTGCCTCATCCCTGAACAGATATGGTTTGCAGCCCTATTAAAATGGGTCTTCATCTATCCTGTCAGCGCTATTCTGCTGGGGTTTTTTAGTTTAATTACACTATCCAATTAAAACTCCTCGCCGCGTTTTGATTCGCCTCTCCTCGGGCCTGAGTGGATGTGACATTTACAAGACTCTCCTCTCAGGCAGACAATGTGTGATTGATGAGCTGCAGACGCAGTGGAGGAGCCCATTGCCATGTGGAAACACTGCTTAGTGCATTCTGATTTATTTATCATCTCCTTGCCCAAACAAGGTTGCTGCTGGAGAGGTTTTTGGGCAACCCCAAGTTCCACCTCCATTTTCAGCATTCTTGCAAAAACCTTTATTAGAATTCTGCCTTTGGTAATAACTGGAAGAAGAAACAAAAGGCTTTGGGGGAAAAAATCCAGATGTGTGAACAGTTACCATGATTTGGCACAAAAGTGGTATGTGCAGCACTGTAATTGCAGCTCTATGTTCAGGACATCTGTGTGCAGGACACCTCTGATAGCCGTGCTGGGGTGCAAGGACCTGAGCTCCTTCCAATGTTTTTTCGGGCAAAAAGTGTATTTTTTGGACTCTGATACAGAGTTTATTACTTAGCTTAAGGTGTGATAGTCTTGTCACCTGTGTGGGTGCTGTGTGCTGCCCTGCCAAGGGTTTGGGTGCCTTCCCAAGGCTGCAGGAGTTGGCACAGCATTTACCACTGCCTGGATAAGCACATGTGGTCAGTAATTCTGGGGCTGTGACTCCGCAGGATTCCTCACTGCTGTATTTAAGCATGGGAACAAGGAGAACTTGGGGCTGCAGTGCAGGGTGGAGGTGGCAGGAGTGTCTCCAGCCCTTGGCACTGAGGAGAGCCCTGAGCCCTGCTTGGTGCTGCTGCTCAGGCCATAACTGCCTCCTCCTCTGCCTTCTTGGCAGTGCAGTGGTGCTAGAAATCTGGAGACAGGGCAAACAGCTGAATGTAGGACATGGTGCTGAAGGAGTAAATGAGCTCTCCTCAGTGAGTTCCCAGTGAATTAGCATCCTGCCCTTGCACCGGCATCGGCTGTGGGCTCCTCTCCAGGAGTAACCACACAGGAACCCATTAGTGTTGGGGCTGGAGAAGATTTATCAGTGCTCCGAGCGGAGGCCAAAGGGCACTGGCAGGAAGATGTTGCTCTCCTGCTGTCGCAGCAGGGTCAGCCCCACACGGGCTGGGGCACAGCAGCTCTGGGGCTGACGAGAGCCATCGGCCGTGCGGAGCACCCTGTGCCTTGTGCCTGCGCTGGTGCTAACAGAGGAGGTTCTGCTGTTCCCGTTGCTTTCCATGAATGTTTTAGCAAATAAACCTAGCTGGAAGTAACGTGGATTTTCTGTCATGCAGCTGATGAGTCCCAGTTGCAGGGCACTGAGGTTCTCCCAAGCACCAAAGCGCTGCTGGTGTGGGAGTGATGGTAACAGAGCCGTTTGTGCAGTGTCTGCACTTGGGTTAAATCTCCCGTCACATGCAGAAGCTGCTGCTGTTTGTTACCAGATCCTCTCGTATGGAAACATCAACCCATGGAAGCTCCTATTGATCTCGGAATTGTCAGGGGTGGTGCTCTATTGGAAAGAGGTACATCACATATTTAAGCACTCTTGGAAATGGAAATCAATCTCACAATTCATAAATTCCATCTGGCTAGAAGAGTAGCAGAGCAAAGTGCCAGTTAGGATTTCAGTGCACTCATATTTCACGCCGTAACTGGTATGATGTGGACTCGGAGCCCATAAACATGATGCTGTGATGGAGCTTTCTGAGGAAGAGTCTTGGCTCCTTTCCACTGAACCACTAGTCTTGGGCAGGATGGGGCTGTGTGTCCTGCACAGCTCTGGGTTTGGCTCTGGGTGCTGTGCCAAAGCACGGCAGGATCCTGCCCTAGCACTGCCACAGGCTGTGCTGTGCCTCACACCCAGCTCTGCCACGGCAAAACCTCGAGGGGCTTTTGTGTTCCACACCGAGAACCTCTCGATGGAGCTTCAGGGCCCAAACCCAGCAGCTCACTGGAATCCTCCTGACCCTGTGCCGGTGCCCAGAGTCGTGTCGTACCCACGTGGGCTGTCCAGTGTCTCTGGAGTGGTGGAGCTGGTGAGACATGGCACCGTGTCCCGGAGTGGTGGAGCTATGGGATGTGGAGCTGTGGGACACAGTGCTGTGTCCTGGAGTGGTGGAGCTGGTGGGACGTGGAGCTGTGTCCCGGCACCATGTCCCGGAGTGGTGGAGCTGTGGGACGTGGATCTGTGGGACACAGTGCTGTGTCCTGGAGTGTTGGAGCTGTCCGATCTGGACACAGTGCTGTGTCCTGGAGTGTTGGAGCTGGTGGGACACAGTGCTGTGTCCTGGAGTGGTAGAGCTGTGGGATACAGTGCTGTGTCCCGGAGTGTTGGAGCTGGTGGGACACAGTGCTGTGTCCCGGAGTGGTGGAGCTGGTGGGACTTGGCGGCGTGTCCCGCGCGGCACGTTTGGCCTCATTAGGATGCTGCGTTCCGGGCAGAGCCACATGCATTAACATGCTGATGAGCTCCAGCTCGGAATTCCGCATTTTTAGTACCACAGAGGCATCATTTGTCAAGTGATTTAAAGGGTGTTTTTTTATTATTATTATTAGCCAATTTTTCAATACAGAATTTATATTCCAGATTAGTGCATCATAATGGTGTTTAATTAACATGCCACAATAAAATACTCGCGCCTCAAATTTCCTGGCCACCGGGCCAAGCGTATATCCGTCACTTTTTGGGAATCTGGAGAATTAGATAATGTAAATAAGATTTCCAATTAGCTTTCTGCAGGAAAGACCTGAATTTACAGTAACATGGCTGTTCCTTTATGGATTGCTAACTTTGACCGTTGAACTCAATAAATTGGGAGAAAACTGGTGGAAAAGTACCACGTATGGAATATGCTCAGTTTTAATTTCGAGGCCGTGAGCGTTGTCACAAGTGGAGGATGTTTTGCCTTTCTGTGTGTTCTGCGTTAGACCTTTGTGCTGAGCCCAGGCCAGCGACGCCGTGTCCACCCCCCAGCTGGGAACAAGGGCCTGAGCAGCTCTGGAGCTGCCAGAGCTCCAGTCAGAGCTCCCTCAGTCGTACAGGAAGGTGGTCCCAGCTCTGAGGGCCTGGGCAGCCTCGGGCTGTGTGTGGGACACTCCTCTCCAGCCAGCAGCCGTGTGGGCCGAGGTCGTGGCTGATGATCCTGGGATGAATTGCCCTTGTGCTCGCCGTGAGCAGCTCCCAGCGCGGCCGCCGTGGGCCGAGCGGAGCTAACTAGCCATGTGATGGATCCCTGTGTCTCCTGCGGTGGGATGTGATGGGAAAAGGAACTTTATTGACTGGAGTTCAGCTGCTCCTGTAAGCCACCACTTGCCTTAAATTGAAATGACATGAGAAGCCTGTCAGCGTTTCATTGCTTCCTTCTGGCGTGCTGATGGTACGCGGAGATCACCATCTGTGGTTTTCTTCTGTCAGGCACACGAGCTCTGCTCAAACTTTACAGGAATATTCTGAACGGGTTTTTTCTTATCTTTGCAGGTCATGCAATATTTAAACTTACATATCTAAGCAATCATGACTACAAACACCTTTACTTTGAATCAGATGCTGCTACTGTCAATGAAATTGTACTGAAGGTGAGTATTAAATTTTAACGTGACCCGAAATCCTGGTGTTTTCCCACTCATCAGACACGAGTGTGTTCTGGAGGCTCTGGGAACGTGCGAGGTGCAGTGCCTGAGGACCACGGAGGTGTGTCAGCCTGCCAGGCTGTGGAGTCACCCTTCAGCAGCCTCACAGCTGCTGCCTCTGTGCAGCACTTCCTTTGTGCTGCTGCTGGTTAATAAAGACTCCAGTTTTCTGTGGAATCTGATAGGAAACTACCAAATTTTGTGGTGTCCAGGTAGTTTGCACCGCGGACAGGTGAGGCCCCAGCCAGCCCCGTTGGGTGCTGTGCCCAGCCAGCTCCTCTGCCCCATGGCTGTTCCCATACACTCAGGTGCTCTCCCCACCCCAAGCCACCCCCGGGGGTTTGCAGACACATCTCCCATGCTCGGGGAGCAAATTTTGTTAAACTTGGAAGATTGCACCGAATTTTCCGCAAGTTCCCGTTTCATAGCGAGTCAGGACTCAGAGCAGTAATTTTGGCAGCCCATCTGTTCTGTTTGCCTGCGCTGGCTCTGTGCAGTTTGGAGGGCTGTGAAACAACCGACGGGCGATAGTAACTCACTGCTCACACAGAAGGTAGCAAGTCCGAGGGTTCTCTGCTCTGGGAGCTGTCAGGCCAATTCTTTTGTTCCCACGTTATCTTCAATCAGCCTCTGCAGTCCAGAACATCTAGAGTTGTGGAATCACAGAGTCATTAAGGTCGGAAAAGGCCTCCAAGGTCATCAAGCCCAACCTTTGGCCGAACACCCCATGCCCACTAAACCATACCACGAAATGGCTCCTTGTTTTTTGCACACTTCAGGGATGGTGACTCCAAACATCTGAGACTGGTCATAAAAGAAGGCTAAAAAAGAGGTTTGCTGTGAATAATACGAATATTCAAGGGAGAAATATCATTGAGCAGGACTTTTTTTCCTGAGTTGCGGATTGTTTATGTAGAACATTCTCTAGTTTCCTGCACAAGTCACCAGTTTGTTTTCAGTTCCATCGGCATTAGGAGATGCAGAAAATCAGACTTTTCAAATTAGGCTTTGTACATGATCAAGTGAGAAGGACTGAGGCTTTATTGACCATGAAAATTCCCTATATTTTTATGCCTTAAGCTGTAATATGCAATGAAAGTGAAACACTCTACAGTGCATAAAATTGTGCAAGTTTTAAGCCACAGCATATTAACCAGCTAATGGCAGACCAAAGGGCATTTTTATCTTTTTGATTCTTGCATTAACCTTCCATTAAAATTATCTGTGTGATTATCACAAAGCGCTGGAGATAATAAATTTCGGGAATAGCAGGCTTGTTAAATACCATTTAAAAATGCTTTCATCAAGTAAAATGTGCCAAAACACAGGGAAACTCTGAGATGAGCTGAGTAGGCAAACAGAGCAATGAAAGGATTATTTTTACTGGGGCGGATAAAGTCCTTTATCAAAGGATGAGCGGGTGGTCCCGCGTGGGGTGGTCGCTGCCGTCTCGGGGGTTTGGGTGAAGTGGGACGAGGGGTGAGGCGCGTGGGGCACATCCCAGGGCTCTCCTGGCACTCCAGGCTGTCCCTGCCGTGCTGGGGGTGGTGGTGGCCCCGGGGCCGGTCCCTGTCCCCAGGCTCCCCTGCCCAACCGCCAGAGTCAAACGTCATCTCGTGTCTTGCAGGTTAACTATATTCTAGAGTCGCGAGCAAGCACAGCCCGAGCAGATTATTTTGCTCAGAAACAAAGAAAGCTGAGCAGGAGAACAAGCTTTAGCTTCCAGAAGGAGAAGAAGTCTGGCCAGCAGTGAGGCCGAGCCTCGAGGAGAGCCCGAGTGCCGCGTTCGAGGAGCTGCTCCCACCGGGGCAGGTGGCACCAGGACTGTGAGCTCCTCTGCCCACGGGCAGGAGCCGCCGGGAGAACTCCGGATTATCCCATCTCTCACGGCTGGAAGATCATCCCTCGTCGGCGATGGGAGGTCTCCCCGTGACAGAAATAAAGAGCCATATCAGCCGGAAAGAAGACTGTTACGCTTCAGGTTCCTTTGATTAGACATAAGAGAATGACGTAGACTGGCATCATTTAATTACTGTGTTATGTACAATCACAAGAAGAGATGTGATTACATATTATTTCACAGCCTGGTTAAAATAAATTATATACATCTGTAATCCACCCACGTTCACACAGGTATTGCTTGTGACATGATCAAATTTCTAAAAACAAAATGTAGGACAAATGTATCCATTTTTACTATTAATAAACAGATGTAATCTTTTTCAAGGTCCATCTGATGCACAGTTCTTTTGGGGGGAGGCTGCAGTCCCAGATGGTTTCACTTCTGTTGCTGAAGTGCAGGAGTCGTCCGTGAGCCAGGAGCGGCTCGAGGCAGCGCTGAGACAACCTGTGTGGGGTGTTTTGCTCAGAAACACTTGTACTTACCTGTGCTTTGCAGCTTTCCTGGACGTTCCCTGCAGTGTGGAAGTTGGGAATCAGCGGCAGCCCCTTGGCACCCTCCTGCCCGGGACCCGTGGCTGCTCCCCCGGGGCACCTTGCACCTGGGGACTGAGATGCCTTCACCTTTTCCTAACGTTAGTCTCTAAACATAGACCTTAAGACCTACTTTGTACTGGGATTTGTAACTCTCTTGGCCTTGTCCATCATTAATGCATCAGGGACCACAGGAATGGGATTGCAGGGACCCAGAGCTGCAGTTTTGAGCTCACCAGAGGTGTCATGCACCCGTCTCTGCAGGTCTCTGGAGCCCTGCACACACCTCCCTCCCCGTGGCCCTGCCCTGCCCCTGCCCCGAGCTCTGCCAGCTCCTGCAAACCTCTGAGCCTTAACTTGGGGCAGTGGCCGGGGCAGAGGGAGGGCCCCACGAGGAGCCCCACGCGCCCCAGGCCTCGCTGCTCAGTCTTCCGTGGTGTCTGCAGAGCCACAAAAATGCTATTTTATAGTCTGCTATTAACTTTTTTAACATTTTCTATGTGCAAATGCAGCCCAGATGCAATGGGGGAAGCCCCTTCGATGTAAACAACTCCTTTAACTGACTCTGTGAACTATTTAACATTAAAGTTGCTCTGTGAATGTTCTTTGGCCACACCGTTTCAATTCTTTGTAACCGAGCTGAAAAATCGCCCGTTTGGTGTCGGAGTTTGCCGCAGTCTCCGCGTTTCCATGGCCGTGGAGCTGCTGCCACCCCCTCACGTGTGTGAATTGTCAGCAGGGCTTCAGCGTGTGGGGTTTGCTCTCACTAAAGCCTCACAATGCAAGCAATAAAATCTGCTGTTTGTGGCACCGTCCACGAGTGTTCACACCCTCTTGTCAGTCACCTGCCACTGGCTGGTCCCTGTGCAGGTGGCAGTCCCCTGCCACTGGCTGTTCCCTGTGCAGGTGTCCCTGGGCACCAGGGCTTGGCACAGCACCCCAGAACTGGGCAAGGGGATGGATGCTGCTGCCAGAGGCTGCTCCCAGGGTGGGTGGGAGAGGGAATGTCGGAGCCCAGAGTGAGTTTATTTCCTCCGAAAGAGCCATTGACAGATAAAAAGCAAATTTGTTTTCAAAGATGAGATCCAGTTGGATACTCAGCATGCAGGAAACCTCCCGTAAATCCTGGCAAGGTCCAGCACT